ATTTTCCATTTAAAAAAACAACGTATCGAGCCACTTTAAAACCGTAAGCATGCACGCAAACTACTCTGTGACCTGCATCTATTTTCTGTGGTGGAAATGAATTTACTAAAGTATAAGCAAATCCAAGGGGTATGGTTAAATCACTTTGGCGCAATTACCCATTACTTATAGCATTGTGGCTTTCTTTCCTTTTCGTAAGGCATCTAATTTTTTATATGTTTATTTTATAACCGCTTCAAAATCACAAGGAGAGAAAAATAAAGATGACGTTTTACCACCAGAACCACAAGGAGAGAAGAAGGAAGATGAAATTGATGAAAAAGACTCTAGCTTTTCGATTGTCGATGGTAGAGAGAAAACGTCTGATAACAGGTATATATAATTTCTTAAACTATAGGTCCAAGGTATTTACAATTATAAGGGCTTAAGGGTTATCGTTACAATTATGAAAACATTTAGCCATTTAACCCATTTTTACACTGGCCGAGTAACCTTGCAATGCACACAAAGAAGACATTGGTATGGACTAAATTATTTGTCTGAAGTTATTTTAAGTAGTGAATATAAGAACGGAGAGAAAGAAATCTTTTATTTTTAAGTTCTTTAATAGCATAAATTAATTTCCATAAAAGCCAAATGTTAAAGTCATTAAAATGGATTTATCATGACCAGTTTTGAGATGTAGCATTCATTATGGACATATAGTAATTTAAAACATTGAGTGCATGGTATACAAATTCGTATATGATTTGTGGTTCTCATTAAAAGAACTGGTAATGGTAATTGCTAGATAGTATACTTCAAAATAAGATTTCCGTTTTTATAACGTAGAAAAAACCATCCTAACGCAAAACTAAACTCTAACCCTAATATTAAACTTAACCCTAACCCCAACTAGGACCTAACCATAACCCTAACCTAACCCTAACTTATTTAAAAAATTGATATAAAAACGTAAACCTTATTTTGAAGTATACTATCTAGCAATTTCCGTAGTGGTGCATCAGCTTTCTACTGTGACGTCAAAGGATGCGGTAAAAAATAATATATTTTGTCGCGAAATTATTCACGCTTAAGTGTCGCAAAATAAAAAGTAAATAACAGAAAATACTTTTGCGATCGCACGTCGCATATTGGACTTATTTTGACAATTTCGACTGTTATTGAGACAATTTAAATTGGATTTCATCCTAAATAGTGTATTCCCGACATGGACAGTCACATGGAGTCAAGTTTAAGCAAATATTTGCGGTTTGATAGCTGGAGAGATTCAAAGATATTATATTACTGAGTGCTTGACTAAGTATTGACGACATATTATTTCAAGCAACTTGATTTCTCAATTTTGACCGATGCATTCGCATCGTTGGCATCGGTCTGGATCCGCCCCTGGACTTGGGCATTGAGATAGGTAAGACAATTATATTTTGCAGTCAGAGAAAAAACTTTCAAAGATGTAGATTGTAGAGTTGACATCGTTGCGGGTTCCTGTGATGAGACTGCACGAGTACGTAAAATATTGTCTTTTTTGGTGGGTTTTTTTTCTCCAACTCTGTTGAATTTAATCAATTGGACGTATTATACATGCATGACATGCCGCATGGTTGGTAATTGCAGGAAGTATATATATATAGTCTTTACTCAAAGCACTTGTTATTCCTGTACAGGTTTACGAAACTAACGGAAGAATGTCTTGGCCAATTCATCGCTGGTTATTTGTAATTGTATCGCTATTTGTGTTTAAAGGTATGGTATAACTGTTATGCCGCGTTTACAGATGAGCAAACTTTTTATGACAAGTTTTTGTATGGCAAGTTTCGAGGGAAGATTTATTTGCCAAGTGCATATGTGTATGTGCGAAGATCGTTGCCCAACAGCATGCGAGTGCTGAAATTACGTTGACAAGTTTTCTTCTTTGACCCATACAGACGAGCAAAATTTGTACTTTGACAATTTTGAAAAAATTGTCAAAGTTTATATAGACGAGCAAATAAAACTTGCCACAGGCACACTTCTAAATAGCAACTGGACCAAGTAAACAGGTCACTTGTCTCGCTTTATGACGCGCTCAATCCTTCCTCATAACATCACAGCATTGTTACTCAAATATTTTAGCTTCTGTGTCTTGGATTTATGCGGAACAATAAAAACACTGTTCAATGAGAAAACATGAACACAGTCACAGACAATAGAATTTTAAAAAGTAATTAAAATGTTCCTAAACAGAAATCGTGATCAAGTGCTAGTTAAAACATGAGCATCCGATCTTTATCTGATATACAAATTTGTATATCAGAAAAAGATCGGATGCTAATGTTTTAACGACTTGAAAAACTACCCATCTTATGAGTTCATTGGCAAAGTAATTTTAAAAATAAACATTGTCTAAGGGTGGAGTTAAGGCACGTTCACACGCTGCGATTTGTCGGGCCGATTTTGCTCGCTGTATGTAAATAACCTGTCGTGAGTACTCGCGTCAGC